CGCGGCGTCTTTTGTCGTGAGAGTGCAGATAAAGTCTTTGGGGTTGGGGGGGGGGGTGAAAAAAAGGGGGGGGGGGGGCGGTGAGGAAAATAGTCTCTGGCCTGCAGATCTTGCCACTTTTATCCTAAATGGAACTACCACCTTTAAGGCAACATTCCTACTTTTTTCCCCCAGAAGCTTGCAACTAGGGAAGAAAAGGTCTTTGAATGCGCAGGCATATCTCATTCCTTTTACAACTTTTTAAACTTTTCATAGTTACATTTCCAATGACAGGGCAGTACCTGTCTGGCTTGGAGACCAAGGAAGAACTACTCTTCAGCATTACCTCCTGTGGGGTGGATTTATTCAATTTCCTAGAAAAGAAGACAAAAGGAATGATCAAAGAACAACTGTGTACTTGTTGAGCAGGTCTGAATTTTGTAGAAATTTTGTCTGAATTGTAGAAATGGAAAAACTTTGCTCCTGAATTTGAGAAATTCACACTTCTCTTTCAGATGTCTTTGGGAAGCCACAAAATTTCAAGTTTTTCTCCCCAGGTTACAACGGTAGCTTACTGATCAAAACCTGGTAAGGTACTCCTCACTTAACAACCATTCATTTAGTGACCATTTAAAGTTACAATGGTGCTGAACAAAGGGACTTACAACCGGTCCTCTCACTTACAACCATCACGACACCCCGCAGTCACTGATTGCAATCTGGGCACCTGGCAACCAGCTTGCACTTACAATGGTTGCAGCGTTCTGGGATCACGTGATCGCCATTTGCAGTCTTCCCAGCAGGCTTCCAGCAAGCAAAATCAATGGGGAACAATGTGATTTGCTTAACAACTGTGTGATTCGCTTAACGGCCACGGTGATTCACTTAATGAATCTGCTGCAAAAAAGGTCATAAAATTGGGTGTGACTCACTTAACAACCGCCCCGCTTAACAATGAATTTTCCTATCCCTATTGTGGTCATTAAGCAAGGTCTACCTGTAGTGTGCCTTCCATCTGAATTCAGGTAGAAAAAAAATACAAAATTTGCAAAGGCTCTGAGAAACTTTGTACATTTGAAATTGTAAATCTGCTCCATCACCACCCTGAAAAATGACCGTAGCCATTTTTGTGATGCCCTTCGGCCAATGCCCTGCTATCTGCAATCCCTGCAATCCCTGATCACCCACAATTTTTATTTAATAATAATGTCACTGCTTGCTAACAAAAAAATTGCCCAGCTCTGCTTTAAGGCAAGGCGGCGGCAAATATCAAGCTAGTTAAATCTTTTTTACTAAAACTACAAGATCCAGCAGTCAAATGCAAAAGATATACACATTTATGAAACCGTCCAATTCGCCTCCTTCAATCCCCCATTTGAGGGTCCCTTTCACCATAGTCCAAGCCTACGGATTTGATTTCTGCACCAGAATTGAGCTGTACGCACAAGTATTGCTTAAACCACTCCATTTCTTGTGTTTTCTTTTTTCATTCTTTTCAACAGTCTGATGTAGATGAAAAGATATTTTGTGGTCAGAACGATTAAACAATTAGAGCTTTATGATCCATTACAAATTACTCAGAGATCTACAGTACTTGTAACGCTAGAGTTAGTCAGCACTTCTGATTTCAAAAAGGTGTCTGTTCTCAGAAGGGTACGGCTGCCCCCCACAATTGCATACAACTCTGGGAAAGAGTGGGGCTGCACCATTTGCGCCCCCGTGCACCGTGAATCCAATCCAGAGCAATGCGCATCCCAGTTAAATGCCATTCTGCCTTCTCCCCACCTCTTTCCACTTTAAGCAAGGATCTCTAAGTCTTGATTCAGTGACCGCAACATTGTCTCTTCCCCAGCCTGTGCTGTCCAGATACTCTAGAGCAGTGTTTCTCAACCTTGGCAACTTTAAGATATGTGGACTTCAACTCCCAGAA